GGTCTCGATCTCTTGACCTCGTGATCCACCCGCCTCGGCCTCCCAAAGTGCTGGGATTACAGGCTTGAGCCACCGCGCCCGGCCCAGCAATACTAGGTTTATTGGAATGATGGCCCATGAAGCCACATTATAACAAGCTGAAATGTGAAAGGGCAACAAGGAAGCCAGGAAATTGGCTCTGAAGAAAAAATAACTAGACAATAGCTAGAAGGCCACCTGAGGTCAAGGGGGATGGTCAAGGGTTGCACAATTAATTACAGGGACAGGACAGAAAAGCCACAACAGGAGGGGAGAGGAGGGATAATGCTGGAGCAGGAACCATCAGAGGGGATGGGGTCTAGAGCATAGGGAGTGGGCACTGCTGAATGTTAGTTGTCCAAAATCCATTCTTCCCTTTTCCCAGGGAGAACAAGTTTTTAGCTGGGAGCATAACCTCTTGGAATAGATTACATTTACTAACCTTGCTTGTAACTGGATGTGGCTACTTGAACCACTTCTGGCCAATAGGATAAGAAGTGTCTGGCAACAACTTCTTGGGAAGGGAAGAGAACTGCCTTTGCCCCTTCCTTTGTTCATTTTTCCATCCTGCTGCTGAGGCCACAACCATCTGGCGCCATTAGGCAGAGGCCTTGCCTGTGGCACCAGATAAGAATCTAGGTCTGAGCTTAGAGGAACAGAGCCGCTAAACCGGCTCTGGACTACTTTTCAAACTGTTTACTTGCGAGCCAAATAAACCAAATAAACAATTTTTCTTTCAAGCCACTGTTAATTTCGAGCCCTTACCATGGGCACCCTTATCCATGACATCCATTTCGATGGCAAAAACTGCAATTACTTTTGCATCAACGTAATACAGGAACTAGACCCTCATCCTCTGAGGAGGGTGTTAAAGGTTCTTTGTCAATACAACTGATTTGGAGGATGACAGGGAGAAAGTTGGAGAGAGTCCATACCTGCATTGGAAAAGTGTGAGCTTGAGGATCATGAGATGGCTATCGTGGGAAATGCAGGAAGGAAGACACCAAGAATGAGGGCTAAGCAGGAGGTGATGATCATGCATTTATGTTGATTTTTTAAAAAGATTTTTGAAATTATTTACATTTTAAGTGACATTTACAAATTTAAGTGACATTTACAAATGATCACTTTTAAATGGACTTTCTGTAAGAATGTGTAACTCGAGCTGGGTGGAGCCCACAGCAGCTCAGCAAAGCCTCTGCAGGCAGACAGTGACTAGGCTGCCTCCTCGCTGG